CTTTTATGATGAGGCAGTTTCCTCTCAACCTGGGAACCAGTAGGAGCCTGAGAGTTTATACGGGCATCTCACTGATACCTCACAGACAGCCCTGTGAAGCGGCATTATTTTCTCCAGGTTCTTGATGGGACAACTGTGGCTCAGAATGGGGAAGTAACTGCTCAGAGACACCCAGCCTGACTCCAGCACATCCGAGACCAGAACGCCAGTCTTAATCCCTTCAAAGTGAGTATTGAATTTGTCAATAATCACTTACTGGGCATCTACTTTGTGCCAGGAACAGGGCTTGGCACTTTATGTACATACTTCATTTCAGTGTTCTAATGACCATTTCTCTACCCTTCAGATGCGTAAAATTAGATTCAGATGTGTCGATTAAATGACCAAAGGTACACAGCTGGTTCAACCTGTATTTGAACACAAGACATCTGATTCCAGTGCTTATAATCTTTGAACAATCCTGCATTTCCTTTCAAAATCAGGAAAAATATGTTTGCAACATAGCTTAGGATGAAGTGAATTTAGGAACTACTCTCCCTAGAGAGTGTATAAGCTTAAAATATAGGCCAGTTCAAAAAAGTTTTTGTCAAAAGTCTGGGTGACAGGTCAGTGCTTGAATTAAAGCGTCCCACACCTAATCACCAAAAAAACACACACAAAGGAAGTCATACCTCCAAAGTCCCATTCCTTGCCTCCTTCAGAGATAGAGCAACTGAGGTCTCCACTGGACTCTCAAGGACAGCCTCATGGGGCTGAGGCCTGGAAGTCAGAACACATGGAGCACAAGGTCCTGAGCTCACTGTGAAGCTCTGCTAAGACCTTGTCAGGACAGGTCCCTCCAACCATCTGGGATTCTATGTCCTCACACCCCTCAGAGACACAGTGCGCTTTTCCTTCAGTGAGTACCAGAGATGTTGGACCTTTATATCAGTGCCAGCCTGGCTTCCCTCACCCTGAACAAGCTCAGGCACCGAGCACCTTCATGCTGCACACACAGAGTTGCTGCATCACTAAGCCCACCTGTGCAATGCAGAGGATAATGAACCCTCCCACCAGAGGGTGAAATTTAGTGTTTCTCTTGTTTTACTAGGCCTGGTATAAGGTTTATCTGCTCTAAGACTCTCTGGACCTGCCACTCTTTCTAGATATTTCCTGCCCTCACCTCCATTCCCATGTCCTCAAATTTCTGACCAAAGTTAGGACATCTAGAATCTTCCAGGGCCACCATATTCTTCTCCCTGAGATTCCAACTGCCAGCCCCAGTTGGAGGCCCTGGATGTAGCAGTGGAATGGATGGAGTCTAAACATCCCACACCCTCCTGAACTACAAGTTCCAAGACGGGTCGTTCTGGTGGCCTGAGGCCATGCCAGCTCAACATTATCCTTGCCTTCCCCACCAGCCTAGCTGCCAAGACCCAACATGTCTTTAGTCAAGTTTACCTAGTTCCCCACACTTTAGCTGATTTCTCCTGACTTTTTGTTCCCAAGTCTTTAACTTCACTCTGCCCTAATCCCTGAAACTAATTCCTGGCTCCACTTGAAAGGCCTTTTGGAGTGAGTGAAAGTAATCTGCCCCACGTGTGTTGACATCAAGACACCATGGGTACTTCCTTCCTGACCAGAAATGCCACAGAGAGTCCGGTAAAGGCTTGGCTCACTGCCTTCGCCAAGGTCTCCCCAACATCCGCTCCAGGAACATAGTCGTTAGAAAACACACCCAAGAAAGTTGCCAGGAAGCAACCAGTCGTCTGAATTATTTACTGTCTCCTGGAACATAGCCAACTAGATGCTGGCCATGTAGACGCTGAGAAAATATTTATGTGGGTCCTGATGGATCCTTGGCCAGGAAAGACTGCCCACTGTCATCTTTTCTTCTTGCTGATAAAGCAAAGCTACACATGTCAGCTGGTTCTCAGAAGGGCCTGTTGGCAGGGGCCTAGCATCTGATCAGAGTGAGTCTAAGGGTTGCAGCCTTCAGTTCTGATCCTGCCTGTGCCACCAGCTAGTTCTACCTTTCCCAGGGCCTCGGCTCCTCCATCTGTGACATCACTGAGTAGACCAGATGACCTCAGTGTCTCTATGGTCCTATGAGATTGTGACTCAGACAAAATCAGATCTATTTTCCAGATCTGCCATCATGATGCCATTGGCTCATCACAGAGCTATTTTTCTTGGCATCCTGGAAACGTTCCTGAAATTCCAACATCCTAGAATTTCTCTTTCCACTGATCCAATTTCTGTAACCAGATGGGAGAACTCCATCTGGAGGAGGAAGATCTGAGCTTAAAATAAAAAAGAGTAAAATGGAAGAGAAGAAATTGAGTTCAAACAGCATTTATCAGGAATCTAGTATTTGCAAAGCCCCATGCTGAGCCCACGGGGACAGCAAAGTGCTCCTGTGTCCTGTCCCTCTAGTCACAGGGAGCCACAGTCCTTCCCTGTGGAGTACACAGTAAGGCGGCGGGAGGAGGTCCACAAGGACGATTTTATTCCCAAACTGACCCGGTGTGTTTTCCGTAAAAAATCCCTGGGTCCATAAACCCCAGGACCTCTTCCTGCCACCCCCCTCGCTGTGAAAGTCTGTCCCTGTCCATGACCATTTTAGGCTTCTCACTGCAAGGAATTTTGGCCTCCCCAGCCCCCTGCTCCCTTGGACAGCTTTACCTCCCAGGTCCTTCTCCATTTCAGAGTTTGCAGCTGCTCCCTGTGAAGACCCGCCTGAAGTACCACGGTCATAGATACAGACACAGGACAAAGGTTCAGGAGCAACCAGAGTTCTTTCAAGCACAGTCTCTGCTCAGGGGCTCCCGATGGCTTCTGTCAGATGCTCAGCAGTATCTCAAGACCTCCTGCCTCCCTCAGATTCCCTGAGTGGGGAGCTCTCCCAGGCTTCTCTTCTCAACCTTCTCTAGGAAGTTTCCACATCCCAGTTTGAAGGCGCAGTCTGGTGGCTGTGGCGGCCACTGAGAGATGGACGTGGCAGCCTTCTAGGCCAGGTGTGTACATTCAGCGTTTCCCCAGGACAGTGATCAGGACAGGCAGCAGTGACTGCACCTGGTGTCACCTCAGGGCACCTGGTCTGAAAAACAATTTCTGTGTACTCTTCTCCCTTCAGCAGACTCACTTCATAACTATTCTGTGCTAGGCACTGTGCAAGGCATGAGCGAGGGGATGTGCAAGGTCTCCACCTGCCTCAGGAGCCGGGGGTCCTCAAACCAGGGCCTTGCACACAAACAGGCCAGACTCCCAGCCTCTTCTACATCTACACAATCACAGCCCTCTCCCTGGGCCCTGCCTCACTCCCAGGATCACGGCATCGTAGGAGGTCAGAGCCAGAAGAGCCCTTTGAATCCATTTTAAGAAACCCTAGGTAATACAGAAAATCCACAGGAAAGGAGCTGCGTGGTCTAGCTATAGGCCTGGAGGCCTTACCCTGTATGCTGCAGCTATGCGACCAAGGCTCACAGCTTGAAAAACCCCGAACGTAGCATCAGGTCATATTATAGATGAGCAAACAGAGAGCAGGACCCAGATAATAAGACTAATAGTTCAGAGTCTTAGGACAAGATGCTCTACTCTTCAGTGTAGACATTTCTTATACTCCTCACAAGAACCCCAGGAGACAGGCTTTGCTAGTATCCCCATTGTTCAAACAAGGAAACAAACTGAGAAAGACTAAGCAACATCCAAGATCACACAGCTCTGCAGTAGCTGAGTACAGATTCACACCCAGGTTTGGTTAATGCTAGAGCCATTTTGTCTAGAACTCAGGTATTCAGCTATTCAAAAGGGATCATGCTGAGACACCAATGACGGGCAGTGTTGCCATGATTAGCTATAATAAGAAGGCCAGGCCTCCCAGGGAAAATGCATTTTAATGCATTTTAATATTCCTTATTCATTCAAGAAGAAACACAGCTAAAATCCACATAATATACTATGATACTATGGTTGTGAGATCTACAGCAAGCCACAGAAATCCAAGGCAAGTAAAAACTAACTTCACCAGAGTTGGTAATAGGGAATCAGGAAGGCTTCTCTGGAGAGGGGATACTTAAGGCCTCGGAAGAGGAGTGGAAGTTCACCAAGAGTGAAGAGGTGAGGAGCTCAGACGTGCCAAGCTAAGGGGGTATTGAAGGTCAGTTTTCTGCATCTGGGGGACAGTTGCCTGGTGGAGAGAAGCAGCAGATGCAGCCAAGGAGGTAGAGGCATGGAAATGGTGGCTACAGGCTGAAAGGGGCAAGGAAAGGGGCCTTGACTTTGTATTTATGGCCTCAGGGATATAAAAGCTTCAAGCAGAGAAACAAAGAGTTGTTAGTTGAAGGCAACTCTAGGGATAAAGAATTAATATGTCCCAGGGACATAACGTTAACAGTGGTAATGACAGCTCGTATGGGTATCATTCTTGTAAATAGAAAAAAACTTTCAAGCAAACTGATTTATTCCTAACATCAGCCATGTGAGTTAGATAGCCTTATGCCACTTTCACAGAAGGGGAAAGCAGGTCCAAAGTCATACAGATCTGTTCCAAGTCCAGTGCTGTTTGCCAAGATTCACCTCTTCAGCCATCAGGAGCGGGAAGTGCACAAGCTGAGCCTAGGTTTCTGCCCTGGGCAGGAGTCTGGGCTGGCTGCACTCTGCATCTCATCTAACTTGGAGATTGTTAAGATTCTGAGACTCCGTGGCAGGCTGGCTGCCTCGTGGGGCTGCTGGTCTGAGCCGTGGGTGGTCAGGAATGTTTCAGGACTTCCTGTGCCCAGTGTTCCAGGTAGGAGTCTCTGGATTAATGATCCATCTCCAGGCGGAGTGAGCCGAGGTCCTGATGCCAGGCATGGGGCATCGATTAGACTTTACACTCTGGGCTTGCTTTCATCTGAGGCTCCCCAGGGGTGCTGGGGCCTAATAATTAACATTCTCTGAACCCCACAGCATAAGTGAACTGGAGGAAGGGAGAAAAAGGCTCTGAGTCCCCATCAGTGGTGGGAGTGGAGCCACTCCCCCCGCCAGAAAAAGCTTGGGTATGGCTGCTTGGTAGATGAGCACATCTTCGCAGCCCTCAGTTCAATCCTGCCCCGAGTTTGTGCAGTAAGTGGTTTTTATCTCATCTTTGAGTTTTACATCATTTCTATGGGGAAGTAGTAGCACTAGGATTATTATCCTCACTGTACATATGGGGAAGCTGAGGCCCAGAAGGGGAAGGGGACTACCCAGGGGCAGTGGGACTCAGACCAGAACTCAGGTCTTCTGCTTCCCTGCCTAGGATCCTTCCAGCGCAGGAGGCTGTCTCTTGCAGAGATGTTTAGACCCTTCTGGCACCTTCAGGTGAGGGAAGGTAGGGGTGCGATAAGATTTTGCATTTTACAAGAGAAATCATTTCAGAGGTGCCGTGTCACTCTTTTATGCATCAGTTCACCAAATACTTACTGAATAATGTGTTCCAGTCTCTGCGCCAAGTGCAAAGGATTGCAGAAAACAGTCCCTGACATTGAGGAGCTTATAGCTGGGGAAGAAGAGGCCATGGAGAGTGTGGCAAAAGAGATATGAAAGCTTTCCCTTCTTTTTTTTTTTTTTTAGGTATGCAATGTTAAGTTCAGTGAAGTGCCATGGCACTTCACAGGTAAGTCATTTTAATAGTGCAGAGCGCTGTGGGCAAAGGTCCCAGGGAGGGTGTGCTCAAGCCCACCCAAAGGCAGGAAGTACAGGCAATAGGGAGATGAAATCAGAAGAGGCTTCAGAGGGAAGCTAACCAAAAAGCAAAGGAGGGCTCGATGTTCATCAGGCAAATGGGAGGTAGAGGAAAATCAAAGGCTAGGATCATCCCAAGGAGGAGGAAAGAGCTGATGCAGGCAGGGAGAGAAAGAGGCCTGAAGGAGCTCAGGGAACTGGGGGAACGGAGCTGGCTGAAGAGCAGGCTTTGAGTAAGAGATCGTGGCACATGAGGCTGGAGAAACAAAGAACAGATTTAAAAGGCCTCCCCAGCCAGGGGAGGGGACTAAACTACCCTGAGGCATTCAAGCAAGGCAGCAATGTGGTCAGAACTGCTTTTTAGGAGGCTCCCTCCAGCCGGCGTGCTGAAGACCTACTGAAGGGAAGAGAGATTGAAGCAGACACCTCTGGGAGACCAAAGTGCTAGTGACCTATTTTGAGTGGCTTGTGGCCATGAAGGGCACCAAAAATTCTTGTCTGATTTGGAAAAGCCTAAGTCCTGGAAATTTTCTTATATAGAAAAGTGCCCCCCATTGTTGTCAACTTATACCCACGTCCATAGATCTGGATCCATTCCATGTAACTCTGGTCTGAGAAAAAAACAGCATTCTTTTTCTCTTCATATAGGACTTCGCTTTCCATTCGCCTTTGCCCACTTCTGCAGGGACACATTTTCCCAGAGTCCCCTACTGCCCCATCACTTCCACCAGCACATGGCAGCAGAGCACCAGGCCTCCACACCCTCATCCTCAGACCTCGGATGACTCCACCCTACCTGGCCACCCGCCATTCATTCAGCATCATGTATGGGTTCACTGAGTATCTACTATGTGCCAAGAACTGCTAGGCTCTGTGGACATGGCCTCTGTTCTCGCCTCCATGGGCCCCTATGGTGAAATCCAAACTCCTAGTCCAGCATTTCAGGACCTTCTCAGACTCACCCCAGCCAACCTCCATGGCCTCATATTCTCCCTCTCACACTGAGCCACTTGATGTTCCCTAAATACCCTCTGCTATATTTTTTCCAAATAGAAATAACTTTTTTTTATTAAAATGCTAATACATACACACTCTATTCAAACAATGCCAAAAGTAGAAAGTAAAAAATTTATCCTCTACCCCTTCCCACCTGCTATCCAGCAAATCCCATTCACCAGAGATAAACATTGTTGACATTTGAGTAAATCTCTTTCCAGATTCTTTTAAAAACCTTAAATGCCCAAGCACACACCACCTTTTGCAAACTCTTTCCTTCCCTTCAAGACTCATTACAATGCCTTATTTCCTTCTCTGAGAAGGTCTCCATGCCCCATGGGGAGAATTAGGGGAGCAATGCTTACAACAAACATAGCACCTGCCACCCTATACTGAAATCATCTGCTCACCTGGTGCGCCTCCGTCAGGTTAAGTGTGAGGCTGTAATTGGAGACTATAATCTCTGTGAGGACAGGGCTGGATTAATGATCCATTTCATAGTCCAGCATTTCAGGACCTTCTTAGACTGACCCCAACCAACCTCCATGGTTTCATATTCTCAGGACCCATCAGGACCTCGCATCACTCTGCCTGGTTCCTGCTGTATGCGCAGTGCCTCACATGTGGTAGGTGCTCAGTAAGTATCTACAGAATACATGGAGGATGGGTGGATGAAGTGGGAGTGCCTGTGGCCTGTTCTGCAGGATACTCTAAGGGGATGGGATTGGCAGTGAGTAGTTGAAAGAACCTTAGCTGGGGGTTAAGGACCTAGGTTCCTTTTCTGGCCCTGCCTTCCAATGCTATGTAGCCTTATATTAATTCCTCGACTCTCCCTAAGCTTTCATTTCCCTACCTGGAACTGAATAGTGGGGCTGGGTAGATCCCTAAAACCCTCTCCAGTAGATGTTCTAGAATGCTCAGCTGGCCCTGGCCCAGCACCCCTGTTTCACACCTCTGTAATTACCCACCTGCACGCCTTTTATTGTAGAGATTGGGGTGGGGGTGGAGGCTCATTAAATAAAGGGCAAAAGGAAATTGCTGGCTTGCTTAAATGACATTGTTGGCATTAACTAGATTAACTTCTGAAATGAAAGCCCACAAAAGTAAAACCAAAACAGAGAAGGAGCCACGGCTTCCGCTGAGGGTTTCATGGTTCCCTGCTTCAGCCTGCCTGACCCTCAGCCCGGTCTGCCCATCAGTCCCCCCTTGTGAGGCCACGGGGGGCACTTCCCGGCCTTCACACAGGACTTAATGGCAGTGACCCTAGGAAATGGCACTGGGCACTGAGCCCCAGACCAGGACTCGGGGACTCTTGCAAGAGAGCCAGGCTCTCTTGCAACAGAGAATGAAAGCTAGGCCTGGGAAGCCAAGAGCTGAGGTGCCCAGAGTCTTGGGATTGGGAAGCAACACCTGTCCTGAATGACAGACAAGCAGGTCTCCAGAAAGAGCTCCTGGGATAGGTGTTCCAGGGAGGAGCCAGAAGGAGGCCTCTGCGACAGGAGGAGGAAGGCATTTTCTGGTGGTCAAGGGCACTCCTGTGTGGCTGGAGCATAGTGGGAGGGGATAACACTCGATTTAGTGGTCCCATCCGGGCATTCTTTTCACAGTGCATCGAGGGCAAGCCCTCAGCAGCCTGGGCGGGGGACTGAAATAAGGAATCTCACACCAAGCAGGGCTGCCAGCGTGCAAGAGTGCCCACAAGACATCAGTGGAAGGGAGCTGTTGCCAAACTCAATGCTGGTGCCAGCTGGTGATAAGAAAAATAGAGACAAGAGGGTGTGATGGACTCAGAGCAAGACACTTTCTCAGCTCAGCTCACAATGTTTGCCGTCATCAGAAGAGGCAGATGGATACAGAGGGAGGTGGGCACGGTCCTGCCCGGCACTGGTTCCAGTATTTCCAGGGGCAGGAAAGGTGGAGCCCTAATGCATGGCTAGCTGTCCCTGCTCTCAGGGAGAGAACCTGTGCTTGTAAGCATCCCAGAGCAAGTGAGAAAGATCTTCCTCCCTGGATAAACCTGGAATCTTCCCTACATCCCTGTAGAGGGTCAGCTAAGGCAAGTCAAAGAAAGGAGAAAATGGGAGAAGAAATAGTATAGTTCGTGCGTCCTCTAGATCAGATACTTTACATGCAGTTTCTCCATCCTCAAAAATCTAAAGGGAGGTTCTTTTCTCCACTTGACAGACAATGAAACTGAGGCTGAGAGGCTTACCCAAGTTCTTACATTTAGTGATTAAGGGAGCTAGATTCTATACTGAGGTCTCTCCAGCTCCAGATCTCAGTTCTGCCCCACAGACCCTAAGAAGGTATGACTTTTCTTAGGGCAATATGTGCTATAGAATCACAAAGAACCTGACAGAATTTTCTGTATGTATCGAAGGAGGAAATGGGAGGTTCCTTGTGATTCTATAGCACATATTGCCCTAAAAATAGTCATACATGTTTGCTTTATTCACTATATAACCCTCTGCAGACCCTGTCCTTGCCCATAAGAAGCTTATAGTCTGGTTGTGCTGCAGATCTAATGACCAGCTTGTTAATGCTTGGCTAAAAACCACAAATCCTATCATTTCTTTGAGCTGCTGAACACCAGAACTGTCAAGTCACTAGTCCAATGAGTGTTTCAAACACAACTTATATTTCTAGCTATACTGACCAGGGGGATTTGTGATGTTCTATGTCCTAGGAGTGACTTCTAATAATAGTGTTCCAGGCACAGGACACAAGAGACTTTTTTTAAGTAGGAGGCCATTACAACACCCCTCAAACACCATCCAGCTACAGGCCAGCTCACATCTTGGCCTGGAGGACAACGCTCTCGTGGGTCAGTCCTGGTCAGGATCACCAGATGCCAGACTAGGTCACTGGGTATTAATCATTGCCAAGGGAGAAGTTAAAATGAAAGCCAGTTCATTAAAGATTAAGCTTCATCTCCGTAGCCCTCAGGGAAAGGGAGTTTGGGTGGAGAGCAAGGTCCTGTCCCAAGAGGTCACCTCCTAGGAAAGCCTTCCCAGAGAGCCTATGGTGAGGGGCCAGGGGGCCTGGGTTCCAGTGCTGGCTCTGCTCTCAACCTGCTGGGGAAGCCTGGGCAAGGCATTTTCCCATTCTGAGCTCCCATTTCCTCCTTTGATACATGTAGAAAATTCTATCAGGTTCCTTGTGATCCTATAGCACATATTGCCCTAAGAATAGTCATACATGTTTGCTTTATTCATTATATAACAGCCCTGTACCCCCAAGTTGTCCAGTGCAAGTACATATACTGTTCACAATCTTTGTAGCCATGGAGAGTTGGCAGTAAATCCTAAATCCATCATGAGACCTGGAGAGCAGGGACTCACATCTCTCCCCAATTCCCACACTGCCCAGATCACATCTCTCACCCTGGAACATGCCTTTTTTGCCCTCTGGATATGGGCCCAAGTTGTATCTGGAGGAAGTTCCCCTGAGTCCAGTGATCCACAGGAATTTTTGCCAATTCCTGATACCTTCCTTTGTATCATCCCATCCCAATGCGAATTGCTAAACCACTGTTTGCACAGGACCTTCACAAATCTTCATCCAATACCAAAACCATTTCATAACATATAATGACTGATCAACAAACAGCTATCTAATCATTTTGTATCCTATGAATGCACTGTGATAGTGTTGGGGTTCCCATGGTGATCCCAAATGACAATGGCACCATACGCATCCTGGTTCGCAACCAGAAATTTCTATAAGGTGAGACATCTGTAGACAATAGTGGTAAACAATGGCAGATTTTTAATATGAGGGTAATAAGATGAAGGAGGCAATCCATTTGGGATTGACAACTAATTCTTTTTTAGCTTCTCTTAACCAGATTCTTTAAGAAAGGAACCTAATCACTCTTCTGTCTCTAGATGGCAGCACTGGTCCCTTTCACTCCCCAAGGGGGGCTATGATTTTCACTTGGGAACAAGTGCTCCAAAGAACAAGGTTGTAGGAGGTTAAAACATGAGAAACTAGCTTCAGAACAAATGTCCTCACACACTTATGTGAGCACATCTGAATTCACTAAACTTCCAGAGCCTTGCTCCATTTATAAAATAGTCGCTTCAGGATTGTAGCAGCCCAGCACAGACCACCTTTGCTAAGGAACCATTGCAGAGTCCACAGAACGTGAGGAGGAATCCTCAGATGTCCACCAGGGTCCATAGAACCCATGCAGAAAACCCTTGAGTCGGAGAACAGCAGATGAAGAGCTGGGAGACAACACAGCCCCCCTCAGCCTCTTCCGCATCAGCCTGAGGGTCTCCCCCTGCCGCAGTTTCCCAGGCAGGGCCCCAGACTTGTACATTTCTCATGCACTTTGCCAAGCAGGTTGCTAAGCACGTTATATGCCATTTACTCCTTGAGACAGGCACTCCTACCACTCCACTCTACAAAGAGGAAACAGCAGATCCAAGGGCTTAGCTTCCCAGAATATCCAACCACCACCTTGCACAAACAGGGAAACTAAAGCGGCATGTGGTAGATCACTGACAGAGCAGGTAGATCAATGACAGGTACACCCCCGAGGTTGAAGGGCTTACAGAAGCAGGAGGACAGTGCAGGATTAGGGGCCCTGAAAAGGGGAGAGAACAGGAATGGGGCTCCAAGCTCTTCACACTACATCTCCTCTGAATAGTGTCCTCCACCAAGAAAGATCTGGAGAAGGAGTCGGAAACACCCCTCTGATCTATTGCCAGCTGTGCCCTGAATAAGCTGTGTGGCCTCAGACAAGTCCTTTCACCTCTCTGAGCAACCTCACCCTCCCCTTAGGCAGGTGGTATCTAATGAGAAAGTGGCAAGAAAAAAGGCTTTTAAAAGTATAAAAGCTCTCTTGGAGGTATTATTATGAATTATCATTACTACCATCACCTTTCATGGTTATTAAAGACCTGTTACCTGCTAGGGGTCTGTCATGCAGGAATTTCCTTAAGCCCTCTTGAGCCTGTTTACATTTCCAGTCAACAGCACCTCCCTTGCTTCGGATCCCTAGCCCCTGACCCAGGGAGCTGCTGGCAAACTCCTTTGCCTAGAGGTCTGGGTTTGAAGGGTCTTTCTTAGTCTCTTTTGTGGGTTCCATCTCAGCCAGTTGAATTCAGTGCAATTCAGCCTCACTTCCTTCCCCAAACCCCATTTGCACATGTAGTTCTGTGTTAGGGAATCTCAGGAAGAAGGAGAGGAGGATATAAGCTTTGCCTTCTCAAATCATCCCCCTTAAGCCCAGAAGCCCTGGGTAGGGTGGAGGCATAGGACCCCTCCCTCTCTTAAGTGGCTGTACTAGGGCTAAGAACAAGGTCCAGATCCCACAGCCCCAGAGACCACCCAGGGACCAGGGCATCACCTGCTCTCAAAGCCCTTTATCTTGTTCACACCAGAGGGAAAGGACCAGAGTCCTTTCACAAAAACACCGCAGAAGCCAAATGCAGGAAGTTCAGCCCGCTTTGGTGCCTACTCTGCAATGAGTTCTACAGATTTGCAGTTGAATCAGACATGGTATGGTCCTACCCTCAAACAGTTCACAGCCTGACAGGTGAGACCAAGACATAAACAGTCATCTTGCAAGGCCAGGTTAGCTGAAAGCTCGAGTGGAGGATTCAAGAGAATCAGTTTAGGGGAGGGCCTAGCTAGCCCTTACCTGGGACAATCCAGAAATGTTTAATAAAAGGGACATTTGAATTAGGTGCTGAAGGACAGATAGGAGTTTGCCTGAGGGAGGAGCAGGGAGCAGCAGGGAAGAATTTCTGGAGGAGGGAGGGCATGAACACACAGTGGCCAGGAAACAGAGATGGACTGCTCAGGGAGTGGAGCTTCCACCAGGGCGCAAGTGCTGGCTGGACTATTCTGCCCATCACCGAGGCTGACAAGTAGCGTCCCTTCCTGATCTTCAGAAAAGAGCCCTGTTAACAATTGAAGTTTGGGCCCCGTAGGAGAACTCTGACTTCCCTTAGGAAAGACCTCTGACTTCTTGGGTTATGGAGAATCCAGAGAAGCTGGGCATCAATATATTCCCACCCTCAAGCCAGGGTTAACTGGTCACCACCTCTTTGGGTTTCAGAACGTCCCAGCTGAGAAGGGTTTCTCAGACATGTCCCACCCCTGTCTTTTAACTACCCCTTGTTGCATGTGAGGAAATGAGAAAGAAGCCCCTTCCGCAACAGTCAGGGACTGGGGTGTGAGTGGAACCGAGGCTTCTGGCCCCCTTCTTCCCTCTGTATATGTAATGGGGTAAAGCTCACCCAATCCAGCCGGAGGGAAGCTCCAGACAATTCAAGGGTGATTGTAACAGTAGCATCTGCAAGCAAATTACACTCATGAGCTCATTAGGAAGGGATTGGGGCCCTTAGCCTTCATTAATATCTAGTCCCTAACAACTTAATCCTGGGTGAGATCATAGCTGGGATCCCCCCCGCCCCCTGGAATGCCGAAATTCTTTCCTCCTACAAATCACCTATATAAATACATATATTTTAATAGCAGCAATTATAAAGTTCTCTGCCAACTTATGGGGCTGTTTAACATTCCTGGATTGAGGCCACGGTTTTTTCACCGGTCTCCTCCCTCCCCACAAGCAAAGCCTAATGAATAGTAACTCTTTTATGGCTCTGTGTTCCGTTTAACCAGTATCTCTAACCCAATGGGTCTTCACAGGGAATTAATAAGCATCTGGGAGGACAGCCTGAGGAGGTCCACCAATGTAATCGAGAACTGGAAGGCCTAATCAACATTTGCTTCCCACCCGGAGGCCCCCACAGCTACCCAGCCCTGGTCCGCCCAGTAATGGATGGAAAATCAGTCATTTCCTGACAGTCAGCAACCAATTTTCTACCAATTAGAAGAGAGATGGTGGTCTCTGGAGGAAGCTGGATGGCTCCACTGCACAGAGCTGGGAGGAAGAGAGGTGATCCTAGGAACACCAGAGAACTGAAACCTGGCTGGGGGGGTCTCCTCCCCACTCCCCTCATTCCTCAGCTATTCCCTCCCCAGGTCAGCTTGTATCAGCAGAAGGCGACTTCAGGAGCCAGGGGCCCTGGCGCCTCCATGGAAACTCTTCCTACTCAGTGACTCTGTTACACAATAAAGCCACCGGCAATGTCTGCCCCGAGGCCAGCGACGCGGCCTTCTCCCAGTGGGCCTCTCGGTGCCCAGGACAGTGGAGAAATCCCTCCAAGGTGGTTGGCGTGAAGGCTGAATGAGAACACCAGCTCTGGAGTTGGACAGTTGTGCCTTGAAATCCGAAATCTGTCTCTTCAGTTGTGTGTGACCTTGGGCATAACATCTACATTTTCTGGGTCTTAGTTCCCTCTTTGGTAAAATGGGGCTAGTTATAGCACTGACCTGATAAGATAGTCAAGAAGATTAAATGATGTAAGGTAGGTAAAGCACTTTATATCACATATCATGATGTTCAGTAAATAGGTGCTATTGTTGTTTTTCTATTATTTTTGTAATGAATACTAGTATTAATTAATATTAATAACAAATGCATGTCAGGTGTTGTACTAAACACTGTGAGAACCAGTATCCTACACATTCTCAGACACTTCTCGAACTCGCTGTCCCTGTCCCTCATTGTCTCCCACCTGGATTACCACTGCAGGCATCTCCCGTGAACCCCACACCAGTGCCAAAGGGATCCCTCTGAAATGCAGATGAGACTGTGCCCATGTCACTGGCTGGATTAAGGTCTCACAAGCCCTGAGTCACCTCTTCCTGCCAACACCTCAGCTTCATCTCTCCCTGCTCTGGCTCTATTTCTTATCATCCTAAAAACAGAACTACTCCTTAACAGCCTCAGGCCTTTAGCATCAGACTCACCTCTTGGATAAATGTGAGGGTTCAATGGCATAAAAAGAAGTCTTGTGCATGCTACCTAGGCCTCCCTTACCAGCCTCCCCTGCCTGATACCCTCCTGCTCCTCCTCCAGGACCCAGAGCTGAAGCCCCAATCCCCCTCTTCCTTCAGGCTACAGTGGCCTCTTGTCATGAGCTGTTTGGATGTTTCCTGCCTTAGCCTGGAGCTCTTCAAGGAAAGAGGTCCAGTGGAGTTGGTCCTGTGCCTCTCACGGCACAATAAATTTGTCACCCTTCCCAGTTCCTACATTCCTGGGCCTACATTTTTTGTTATTTCATTACCCATTCCACGCCACTTGTCTGCTTCTAGACCTTAGGACACCAGCATGTGCATTAGAAGAAGATGTCCCTTCCTCTGCTCAGATGCAGCTTCATGCCAGGGGGTGTCTTGTGAGCAGAGCACTGGCTAGATCTTGGCCCCAGCTTCCCTCCAGCCAGGCCCCTCAGTGCAGAGCACAACCTACAGTCACACACTTCCTCCAAGCTCCCACCAAGAGACCCAGCCAGTTACATTTGGGGGAAACCTTTGACTCACAATCACCCCAGCACCAGGAGCTAATGGGCATCCGCCTGTAGACTGTTTCTTTATCTGAAAGGAAATGGGTGTGGGAAATTATGAAACAATCATGGGAATTGGGGTTGTTCTGTACATAGGTTGGAAGGTATATAAGACAAGGGCCTTTCCAGCCTGCTGCTCATGCCACCACTTCGGCAGATGCACTCCTGCCAAGGGCTGGCCAGGCTCCCACGGAACGACTTTCAGCCAACTCACTTCCTTTCTTTTCCCTCTTTAGTCTTTGTGTTCTTAACTTCTGAGATCCATCCTCAAAGCTCCCTTCCCAACCTTGTACACCTTTGCACCCTTGAAGGTACACACATGCTCAACTTCTGAAATTATTCACTGAAACTGGCTTCAGTTGTTGAATTCCAGAGAAGCCCACCTGCCAGAAAGAGCAAGATCATAAACAAGCTGAAAGATAATGGAGATTGACAGAAGTCTGTCTGAGCCATGGTCACGTTCACATGGTGTGCACTCCAGGACATCAACTGATAGGGCTTGGCCAGGCCAAGGCAGCCCCTAGTAACATGATGGAAAGCCTTGTTCTGAGAGAAAGAAGCTCACAGGAGAGCAGGCACTGGGGAAGACCCGAGGTCATCTCCCCGACTCTCAGGGTCCTCATGGGAGGAGGAAGCAGATGCACCCCAGTGGCCTGGAGAGAACTAGGACCAACGGGGGCTGACAAAGGAGGTAGATGTGTATTCAGTATTACCTCCCCAATAGGCGATCTTCAGAGGTAGTAGGCTCAAGGTCATGAAGGTGGGAGAGCAAATGCTGGATGCCTTTGTTGGGCTGACCTTAGGGCCTTAAGATGTGATAATTATTTTGCTTCATAGTCCAGGATGCTGTGAGTCTAAGACACCACATTGTTAATTAGTAGTTGATTCCATTGTTACATAATCTTAAGGTGTTTTATTTAACTCAGCAACTCAAAAATCTAAGATTTTATTATTCCCTGACTTCAGAACCCAATACATTGAGAATTGAAAAATTATCTATGACCTTGTCATTTGTGTGGATTTCTTTTAAAGATGTGTTGAGCATATGCCTTGCATCAGGTACTCTTTTAGGCATTTCCTATATAATATCTATACTATAATATAGTCCTCAAAATGTTCCTTTAAGTTATGTACTATTATTATCTTTGTTTTTCAGTGAGGAAACTAAGGCACAAAGAGATTAAGTGACTTACCCAAGATCATACAAGTTGTGTATAGTGAGTGTTCTAATAACTGCAACCTATAGTCTGTATTCTTAACCACTGGCCTAGGCTGCCTCCCATTATTATAGAAGGAATATATCCAGGAGGACAGAGGCGTGCTGGCCTGGCCCAGAGCTGAGCTATGGGTCCTTCTGAGATTCCTGCTGAGCCCGACTCCACGGGCCCACCTGAGTTCCAGCCCTTGGCCTGGGGGAAGTGTGGCGTCCTGTTCCCCTTCCTACCTTCCCAGGAAGTGTTTTCTCCATGATCTCAGGTCCTGAATTCCCAAGGCAAAGCCAGCCACATTCTTCAGGCTGCAGTCCAAGTTTATTTAAGAAGAGGAAAATGTTATTATGAAAATTACAACAGCTTTACAAAACAGAGCGTTGCTCTATCAATCCAGGACCACAAGAATGCTCATCAACTTAATAGCTTCCTGTTGGGAGCTTTTCAAGCTACGACTGAAGCTGGCAGGCATCAGGGCATGGGACTGAGGCCAAGCAAGTGGGTGACATTCCCCCCTTGGGATGAATAGCAGAGCCCACTGAGGACACCACAGGGAACCCCCCATCCCAGCCTCCTCATGCCCTGCAGCCCTGTACAGGACAGCAGCTCAGGATCCCCCTTCTCCAAAGAGGAGCCCTAGTGATTGTGATAGTTTTTGGTGGGGAGGGTGTCTGTACGTCTGCGTGGTGATCAGGGAGGAGAGGGCAGGGCTGGGGCTCCTCCTCCTCCTGCCCCATCCCACAGCCTCAGCACAACCCAAGTATAAACACAGTGGTGAGTGCTGGTGCCCATCCTCAGACCCTCCCCACAGACCCACTGTGGCGGGCCTGGGTATAGGTTTCTGATAAGAAGAGGGCCTTAAGAAAGGGACTGCTTTCTTTACCTCCTAAGGCTAAGGAGAGAAAAGGCTGGGCCTTAACTCTCTTACAATCTATCTCTCTTTTTTTTTTACGGAAGGAAGAAGAAAAGAAAACCAATAATGTGAAATCCTTGGGGCTGGGAGCAGCCAGGAGTCTGGCATGCGTGTGTCCTCCTGGATAATTACCTGGCATTTAGCACCCCTCTTCCCAGCACTTGCAATTAGCAGGGAAATTAGGATGCTGTCATCCTACCTCCCAGCTTCTCTCTGCTATGGCCAGAGGCCTGGGGAGAGGCCTGGAGTTGGGAGGAGGGGATTAGCGCAGCAAGAAGACATCGGAAGGGCTTTCAGCTGAGAAGGACATTTGACGGGAGAACAGACAAGGGTCCTCTGGGGAGCATTGACACCTCCAGCCACAGCCATCTCTGCTCTTTCTGAATTCCTGGAGCATGTGCAGGCTGGACCTGCCCCCTTCCACGGGATGATATGGCTGTGCTCCAGCGGGGTCTCACTGCATTCACCAAAATCGTCACAGAGGCTTTTTGGTGCCTGCCTCTGGGCTGAGCCCTGAGGACAGAGACGAGTCAGACCCACCCAGAACCACAAGTGCACCCCAGGAAAACGGGAAGGCATTTGGGCTGTACAAACATAATCACAAGGTTGAAGTGACGAGACCTGAGGGAGAAAGGACCAACTACATAATTTGGAGGGGCTTAGCGAAGAGTGAAGATTATTGAAATTACAAATAATTTCAAGACAGTACCAGCATAGGATTAAACCAAGCAGGGGCTCTTCTGAGTGTGGGGCCCTGTGTGCCTACACAGGCTGCACACCCATGGTGCTGGCCCTGAATGAAGGGCAGTGCAGGTCTTGCCAATTAAGAAAGAATTCTCGGACCAAGCAGCTTTTGAATTGGTCTGGTCAGTACTGTTTAAGAGATAAAGTTTACTTCGCATATCTGGCTAGTTTTCTCATCCTTCAGGACCTCATGTTATGCTGCCTCCTGCAGGAAGCCTTCCCTACTAACCCCAGGCTGGGTTTGGACCCTCTAGACCCTCTGGGACTTCCCCTCAGCCCAACCCTGTTCTCCTCTGTTACACATATTACCCTGCATTACAGAGGACCTGACTGTGTATCTGCCCCAGCCCATGGGCTCCCTAAGGACAAGGTCTGTGCCTTTTGCCTGTCTGCACCTGGAAGCCTGTGGAGGACCTAGATAGGGTAAGTGTTTAACGGTGATAGACTGACTGACTGACTGACTGACTGACTGACTGACTGACTGAATGAATGAATGAATGAATGAATGAATGAATGAATCCATGGGGAACAGCTTAGGCAAAGGCCTCCTTTGACTGTCTTGGGAACCTGAGGGTGCATCTTTACCTATAAGGCTGAAAAGTTATAGAAAGGTTTGTGCTTTTACAGAGGGGTCTGGCTACTCTGTAGGGGATGTATGGAAGTGAGTGATGGGGGGTCCTGGGGAAGGAGCAGTAAGGGGGGCAGGCAGAGCAGTCAGAATGCTATAACCATGATCCGTGTACAGCACCATGGAAGTGGACAGAGAGGAAAAGCTGGGTTGAAGCCTCAGCCACCCTGGTGGCAGCAACTCCAGGTCACCAGCCAGCTATTCCAATTATTCATAGAAATCCTTCTTGTTCCAAGGAGGCTCAGATAAAACTCATGCACAGTAATGGATGGGGAGCTTTAAGCCAGGAGATAAGAGGAAACCCAGAGTGCAGGGTGATCAGGTGGGGCTTTGCAGGCCGGGGAGGAGCCGTAAGAGGTTATCAAAACATCCCTCAAATAGCAAAGGCTCAGAGGTGGTCTGCCCAGGTGCAACTGCGGAGCGACACGCAGGCCTGCGAGACTCAGACCTAGTGGTCCTTGGCATTATTCCCACAGCAGGGGGAGGCAGATTAGTCCTGCTGCTCTGAGACTCCGACGGGAGGTCTGGTGCCTTCTGTTAGGAGCGGGAAGCAAGGGGTGAGGGTGGAGCAGGCAAGGTGCCCTCTGAGGCCCTTTCCTTCCTGACTCCCTGGGACCTGTCCATGAATCACCACAGTGTCATTTTGTCTGTTGGATCAGGAAAAGGCTGACCTGTTCTCCAGCACTAGATAGACGATGTGGAAGACAGAGAGCTTTTGCCTACTCACCCTCAGCTGGGCCAGAGAGGCTTCAAGTCCCTCCACGAGCCAGGAAGGGATCCACCAATCATCCCTTCTGCCGAGCTGTGAGAGAAAATGTGGGCATGCGAGAGGTTTGCCCAGGGGAAGAGAAAGAGAGTGGGAAACCCTGGGGCTTCCCAGAGCGGGCAGGAGAAGGCCGGGGAGGCCGGGGAGGCCGGGGACACCTGGTCAGTGATCAGAGAGCAACTTAGAGAGTGGCACTCATAATGCCTGATACTTACGCTGCACCACCATCCTCGGGGCTGTATCTTAATTAACTAGTGTCGTCCTCACAGCCCTCCATTAATAGGAGAGGAAACCAAGACACTAAGTTGCTGTAAACTTTCCCAAAGTCACAAAGCTCTGTAAGGTGGGGCTGGCCATTTGCACCCAGGCAGTCTGTCCCATTTTATTACTAAAATGGTCATCCACTTGCAAAGGGCTTGCTGTGTATAAGGCAATAATTTCATTTGGCCCCTAGGAGGCATTATCACCCCCATTTTACAGATGAAGAAGTTGAGGCTCAAAATAATGATTTGCTCACAATCCCACTTCAGGGCAGTGCAGAGCTGGGATGTGAACGCATGCCAGTCCCAGGTCTTGCACACTCACTGTAGGCTCCACTACACAGGGGCTAGGAAGCAAGCACAGGGCATCTCAGGGGGGGCAGAAGCCTCAGGCAGCTTTTCCTGACAGCTGTGGGTGGAGGCAGCTGGAGGCTGGCCTGAGAGGCCCCATCTGCCGACACTCAGGGCTGGAAGGAGATAGTGCTTTTTATCTCTACGGAAAGTTCAAGAGTTTATTCCCACCCAGGGCAGTGGGGAGCCTGGTGCCCGTTCTTAGAGGGTGTCCAGTGACGGGACAGATGGGGGGCACTTCCTCCCCTTCCCTCCGACACTCAGTCCCTTCCAAGCCCCACCAGAGGCTGCAGGAGGCATCGGGACCAAGTCCTGGGCACGGAGCCGGCAAAAGGTACCCAGCTCCCAGCGCAGCACTGGAGATCTGGCAATGGGGGGGCGGGCGCGAAGGGCCCAGCCCTGGAGTCGGGCACTCCATGGTGTGGGCGTGGCCCTGGCCCCTCCACCTGGGCTGTGTGACCTCAGACACAATGCTTCTCCCTCCCAGCCTCAGTTTCCACCTGTGAAAAGCTGAATTAGTTCTGCCTGGGAGAGTTGTTACCAGGGTTAAAACAGAAGACCATGTATTTTAGTCACTTGCCTCACAGTCTGCCCAATAGTTGGGGCTCCAAAATGACCTTCCTTTCCTGTATGTACCATATGAATTTGACTCCAGTCATGGAAGCAAAGTCCCCTCCAGCGTCCCAGTGACAGAGGGGATGAGCTCACCCCCTCCTGAGGACTCCTGTGTGCTCCCCACTCCTGCAGAGGGTGGGGCACACCCTCAGCCTGGTGTCTAGGGCCTCTGGGGGTCTGGTGGCTACCTGTCTCCTGGCCTCATTTCCTGCCTCCAGCCCCCAGGTGACTCATTCTTCCTGAACAAAGCAGGCCTTATCTCCACCCCCCAAATGCATCCTTCAAGGCCCAAATGATGTGCTGCCTCCTCTCTGAAGCAGCCCCCAGATCCCTGAGGGAGAATGAATCACTGGCCTAACAGTGCTTCCATGGCTCTTAGCTTACTCTGCTTTACGTGTGTAGACGCATGTATCTGCCTCCCCAGCAGACTGTGAGCTCTTGCAGGACAGCGGTGGGGACCCCCAGCTTGCAAACCGCCCAGCACAAAATTT